TATCCTCAAAGACTCTAAGTCAACATGGCAGAGATACTTGCATATCCATGGCCACAGCTGCACTATAGGGAATTCACCGTAGTTAGGAAATAGAACCAGTCTAGATGGCCACCCACAGATGAATAAAGAAAATGTGGAACACGTACAATAATTTTACACAGCCATAAAGAATACAGTATTTGCATGAAAATGGATGCAATTGGTAACTGTTAAACAGAATAAGCTGAACTCAGAAACACAAACGTCCAGTGCTTTCTTCCATATGCGGAATTTAAATGTAAGATTATGTATGTGTGAGTGTACGTATGCTTGTAGGTCATAAAACTAGAAAGGGGATGAGAGGGAGGGAGCGATCTTGAGGGAGGTGGGAAATCGGGTAACAGAATACACGTGACAGGGAAGCAGGGGTGAAGGTGGGCGTGCACTAACTCAGGGACGGAAGCGGGGAGGCTGGAGGGTGATGAGAGAGGGCAGCTTCGGACAAATGAGAACAAAGCTTACGGCAGGTCTGAAGACACAGCAATGAAAGCCCTAAATCTGTATGCTAACCTAAGAAAACTGAATAGTAATACATATGATAAAAAAAGCCAATAAGAGAACATTGAATACCTTAAATCCACTTAACCTTCTAATAATACTCTGTGTAACTGAGTCACAAAGAGAAATTTTGTCAGAGAAATGTGTTTTGTGGCCAGTGGAAATACTGTTTGGCATTTGGTAAAAGTCCCCAACATTTTCAATAAATGGTTTCCTTGATATTTTAATAGCCTAACTGTCCAATTTTAATGTAAGAAATGTAAGAAAAGAAATCATAGACTATGAAGAGACTGAGGAATACACAAAGAGAAGGCATGCTGTCTCAGAAAGGCCATGGTCCACACAGAAGCCACACCCCAACAGCAGACGTGCAGTGACCTTACCTGGGGACACCACTGCTTCAGGGTCATTCATATCAAAGGCAGCCATATTCCCAATGGCAAACCCGTAACCTGAATGGACATCAGGAAGCCCAATAGACCGCTGGAAGAGAATGAGAAAGTGAATGCAGCTGTCATTACTCTGCACCCCGGTTACCAGATGGACCTGTTGCTGACTCTGAAATAGTTGGTACACTGAAGCTATGCCCCAAATCAAGATGCTTTTCACCAAGTCCCTATTGCAGAGAGTATGTGTACAAATTCCTGTTTACAAAATTAAATACAGTTAAGGAAATCTTTTCATAAAGACTGATTGTTTTTGTTTGTTTGCTTGCTTTTTGAGTCTCCCTGTAGCCCCAGCTGGCCTGAAGTCTCTATGTAGACCAGGTTGGCCTCCATCTCACAGAGATCTGCCTGCCTCTGCCTCTGGAGTGCTGGAATTAAAGATACATGCCACACCTGGCTATGCCAGGTTTTATATAGATTATTAGAGGTTAAATAATCACAGGCAAATGAAATCTATTTGATGACATGAATACAGCATATTTTGTACGTTTGGGATCTGGTAAAGGACTGTGTCCCAAAAAGAATGAAGGTCAAATATAATAAGGAAATGGAGACACCTACAAGTGAGCTCATAAAAGCAGAAGCCACATCTTTTCCTTCTCCAGTCCTGCCAAGCTCACAACACTGTAACCAGCATGAGGCCTGAAGGCAGTCTGGTAAACAGACCACTGTCTACACTCTCCTCTGAAGGTAAAATCTGAATTCGAGGCTGGTGGAGGCACAAACACAACCTGGTTCCACTCCACAGACTCACTGCTCTTCTTTTCGGACCAGGATAGTGTCTCTCTCTGTCTGTCTGTCTGTCTCTCTCCTCTCTGTGCTCAAACTTTTCTTTATCAACTATCCTCTTGAACAGAGCCACAGTGAACCTAGAATGGCAATGCACTGATGAAGAAATAATGCTGTCCCCATGGCAAGACTTAAACCTCCCCATAAAAACCACTCCAAAAGTGCCTAGCTGCTTAGATTCCAGCCAAGGCAACCAGAGACCGAGGCTATCTAGACTCAGTTATTTCTTTAGAGCTCATGGTGACTGCTAGATGTTCAAAGGTCACAGTCTAAATGACACCAGCATTTATTAGTGGAATCCTTCATTCACTCAACAAACTTTATAGTCAATATAAATGACTAAGGTTCTGACTTTGACTCACATGAACAATGCCAGGCAGGGCTGCCACATTGCCGATCTGCTTCATGGCAGGCAGGAAGCCACCAACACCTGAAGACAAAACTCAGTCTTAGAAAACAGGACATTACATACTCAGCATTACACTCATGTTCTAGAATGTATTATACAAAGGGTCAGTGGTTAGAGTCACTAAAACAAAGTGGAGAGGGACACCAATGGGATGTGAATTTCAAGAAGGAAGACGGGGCAACCAGACTCATAAACATGCCTATCAGCGTTCTATGTACAGAAGAAGCTGGCTTGCAATGGACTGGAAATATAAAATGTTAACTATTAACCTTTATGTTGCCAGGATAAAAATATACTCTTTCAATAATTCACATTATTCACCAAACTATATCACTAGTGGAGTTCTATAGGTAAAGCACTTGGCATACACATGTGAGGACCAGAGAGAACCTATGTAAATGTTGCGTGACTGTGGCTGCAATCCTAGCACTTGGGAGGTGGAGACAGGGGGTCTCCAAAGGAAGCTGGTGCAGTAACTGCTGAACTGGCAAGCTCTGGGTTGAAGTGAGAGCCCTGCTTCAATATTCAAGGTGGAGCAACTGAAGATACCAATGCCCTCTGGCCTCCACATGTGCATACACACCCACAAACAGTATGCAAACAGTAACACACATAAGCATGCATGCACAACACACAAAAATACACACAAAAAGGAAAAAGAGCAAAAGAAATTGAGAGTGAAGCCAGTCATGGTGGCACACGCCTATAATTCCAACTCTTAGGAGGCTGAGGCAAGAGGTTCACAAGTTCTAAGCCAGCCCAGGGAATGTGCTGAGTTTAATGCAGCTGTCACTATATATCCAGACAGTCCCCAGACAAATACAAAAACTACTCTAAATCCACAGTGGTTTTAATCTAAGTGACAAAGGGTGGCAATGGGGAGGAACTGGGGGAAACAATAGTGACATTTTAATTTTGTGTGGTATGTACATGATCATGTATGTGCACATACACGTTTGTGGAGGCCACAGGCTGACACTGGGTGTCTTCCTCAGTGGCTCTTAGCCTCACTTTAAAAACTTTATTTACTGATTACTGTATGCTGTGTGTGTGTGTACATGACATGGAAGAAGACAACTTCGTGGAGTCAGTTCTCTCCTTCCATCTTATGTGGGTTCTGGGAATGAACTTAGGTCATCAGGCTTGCTCAATATCCTAGTTTCTTTCTTTCTGTGATTAAACACTGACCAAAACCAACTTGGAGAGGAAAGGGCTTATTTCCTCTTACACATTCAAGGCACAGCCCATCTGAAGGAAGTTAGGCAGGAACTCAGGGCAAGAAGCTGGAGGCAGGAACTGAAGCACAGACCATGGAGGAATGCGAATTACTGGCTTGCTCAGTTTTTTTTTTTTTTTTTTTTTTTTTAAAAAAGGTCTTTTTGAAACAGGGTCTTCCTGTAGCCTCAGTTGGCCTGGAACTCACTATGTAGGCCAGGCTGGCCTCAAACTCACAGAGATTCGCCTGCCTCTGTCCCTCAAGTGCTGGATCTAAAGGTGTGCGCCACCATGCCTGGCTCAGTTTTCTTTCTTATACAGCCCAGGCTCACCTGCTCAGGAATGGTACTGCCCACAGTGGGCTGGGCCTTCCTACAACAATCAGTAATTAAGAAAATGCCTCAGACACAGCCACAGGCCAATATGATAGAGGCAATTCTTCAACAGATTCCCTCTTCCAAGATGACTCTAATTTGTGTCAAGTTGACAAAAAAACTAACTAACTAACTAACTAACTAACTAACTAACTAACTAACTAACTAACTAACTAACTAAGCAGCACACATGGCAAGCACTGCTGGCCTTTCCATCTTATTTTTTTTGAGGCAGGGTCTCTTACTCTAGAGCTCAATGACTGACTAGACTGGCTAGCCAGCAAGGTCTAGAGATATGCCTGTCTCCCCAGGTGATGGGGTTACAGAGGCACTTATGTGCCTGGCTTTTATGTGTGTGCTGGGGATCTGAACTCAGGTCTTCATGCTTGTACAGCATGCACTGCACCCACTGAGCCACCTCCCCAGCAATGCCATTTTACACAAGTGAACACACTTAAGTGAGGAGGGATGACTTCAGTTTGCTATCTAGAACATATAAAGGCTAAAACAAGATGCTTTCTACTCTACCATCATCCTAGAGTATCATTTTAGAGCATTATACATGTATCTTTAAACTTCTGGGCAGTCATGTGAGACAGGCATCACTCCTACTGTGTAGAAGAGATAACTAAAGTTCATTAAAACTAGTATTCTAGTTAAGAATGCCGGTTTTAAAATCAGGCACTCTGGGATTTGAATTCTGGCTCTGTCACTAAAAAGTTGTGTCATTAAGGACAAACTAAAATCACTTAACCTCACTGAGTTGTGATTTCTGTAAAGCCAGATAATGATACTGTCCCTTTTAGTTACTCAAAAAAGCATTACACAATCTCAAGTACCTAATGCAATGCTGAGTGCATAGTAAGTGTGGACAGATGGTGGCACTTGCTAACATTGTGTGAAGTTATCTGAGATACAAATAAATAAGCACTCCGATTGTAGTCTCGGTCATTCCTTTCTTCAGCTGTGTTCCTCTTTATTCAGGTCTCAGGGGTGGCTTTACTGGTACCATACCCAAATCTCTACTTACCACCACCTCGACAGGCATTCCTTAATTCCTCAAACATTAATTTTTCCAGAGCATCATTCACATAAAAAACTCCTTCAACCTGGTACAAAAGAAAGGCAAAAACAGTGACTGTCCATGTGACCAGGAAGTACAGGCACACTGCACAGACTGGGACACACAGTGTTTATGTTGCTCTACTCTGAAAAAGTTTCTCACATTACCTATTACAAGAGAAAAACTTCCTATCAAAGATTAAAAGAGTTGGTTTAAAGCGTTCAGATTTTGAAGCATTTTGGATCTGGGGTTAGATTAGGGATGTTCAAACAATAGAATCTATGCAACTATCCCAAACTCCAAAAATCTCCAAACATCTGAAAACACCTCTGGTTATGAGCATTTCAGATAGGAATATTCAGCCTGCTACTTCAGCGTTCATGATGTTTGATAAGTTATGTTTACCATAACTTGGACATTATATGACACACACAGGAATGCTACATGGTGCCCCAAATAATGTAGTTTTTTTTTTTTCAGGATAGATTTATTCACTTGACCTGGAACTTTTCTGCTCATACAGATCAAGTAAGAATCAAGGAGACATCCAAGTAATTTCATTTCTAGGAACACTGTGATCAACCAGAAACTAGACTGTTCCTTTGACTCTGCTGTCCATCATGATAACCGTGTGCACCTCAAGTGCTGCCCCGTCTGCTGTCCTGGTGTCTGAATATTCCTACTGCATGTAGGTCTCTTAGTTCAATGGCTGTTGTTCCCAATGGAAGATGTGCTCTATAAAGATTAGTGATCATAGAGTTCTTCAAGAATATTGGGGCCTCCCAGTGTGGGTGAATAGACCTACCTTTTTTTCTTTCCTTCAATTTTCTTTTTGATTTGTTTTTGTTTCATTTCTAGGAACACTGTGATCAACCAGAAACTAGACTGTTCCTTTGACCCTGCTGTCCATCATGATAACCGTGTACACCTCAAGTGCTGCCCCATCTGCTGTCCTGGTGTCTGAATATTTCTACTGCATGTAGGTCTCTTAGTTCAATGGCTGTTGTTCCCAATGGAAGATGTGCTCTATAAAGATTAGTGATCATAGAGTTCTTCAAGAATATTGGGGCCTCCCAGTGTGGGTGAATAGACCTACCTTTTTTTCTTTCCTTCAATTTTCTTTATTTTTTTTTTTAAACATTATTTTTATTTTATGTGCATGAGTGTTATGCCTGCATGTAAGTAAGTGCACCCATGTTGTACAACGACCGCAGAGGAAAGAAGAGGCTGTCGGATCCCCTGGAACTAGAGTTACGGACAGTTGTTAGTTGCCATGTGGGTGCTGGGATCTGAACCCAGGTCTTGTGCAAGAACAGTGTTCTTAACTGCTGAACCACTGCTCTAGCCCCACCTTCAATTTTCCTTCTTAAAAAATCCCCACGTTCTTAAACAGAAATTTATTTAAAATCTGCTGAGAATACATTAATAATCTCCAAAAGAAGATAATACTTTTTTATTTTCAGGTTTTAAACATCTTAGCTCGGAGTTCTCAAGATTCAACTTTTGGTAGTATATTGAAAGGTTTTCTTTTTTTAACTGTTTTATAGAAATCATATGTTGGCATGATTGAATGCTTGTCTATACACCTAAGAAGCCATCCCTCTGGACCTGGTTCCCAGTGCACTGTAAAGAGCAATCTGAGTTGACTTACACAATTTGAATAGTAAGACCAGATCTGCAGCAAGTGTTGTAGAAATAACCCATAACAACAAAAGCTTTTTTGTCTCCTAATATTTTAAAGAGAATAAAAGGTTCTTAAGACCCCAAAATTTAAGACTTGCTGCTTTATAATGTTCTTAATATTTAGTCATTGTTTTATATTGACAATTTAATAAACCAGACTTTGTAATTATTTAGGCTACTTATCTATTTTATTAACTGTAATGACATTATCTGTTAGTTGGTATTTTCCTAGCACCTTTGTCAACACTGTTTTGGATTGGAACTTCTCTATAATTGAACATAGTTGATAGTTCACTGTTCTTTCTTTCCTTTTAGAATTTCTCATCTCTCTGTTTCTCCAATATTATCTTCTATGTCCTTTACCTACACTAACCAATTAGGTAGAGGATTTTGCAAGTCTTAGGTGAGTGTCCATCGAAAGTACATGTGATAAATGCTTGGCCCTTAAAGTGAATCTTTTGGAAGATGGTGAAAACTTTAAAAGGTGGGTAAGGAGAAGATTCTTAGGCTACTGGGGGAATATCCTTGGAAGGGATTGTGATATCCTAGTGTCTTTGCACCTATCCTTCAGGCTCATAGACAGTACATTTGCTCCATGCATACTCTCATGATTTGCTGCTTTTCCAGAGGTCCAAAGGATGTGAGACTACTTCTCATGGAGTAAAACTTCCAAACTTGTGAGTGAAAAGAAAACTTTTCTCTTTGTAAGTTAACTGTCTCAGACATTTCTGTATAGAAACATGAATTTGACAAAGAGTCCATGAACCAAAGAACTTTACTCATATGAATCTACAAACCTTCCATCTTTCCTTAATGATTATATGCTAATTATGACAAAAGATGGTTAAGTTTTGACATACTTAAAAGCTAAATGTATCAATGTACCAATGCTTTCTTTCTGTAAGAAGGAAAAACATTAGGGTAGAAGAGCGGTGGGAAGATGGTAACTAGTACTGAAGATGTCTGAAAAAGTCATAAGGAAGCCTCCTATTTTATAACTTTTTTTTTTTTTAAAGCAGATGTTTTAACATATATTACAGGACAAGCTCTACACTAAATTATTTACATGTAATAATTCATTATACAACCACTCTGAAAGATAATAGCAAGTAGATCTAAGACTTGTAGTCTTATCTACAATTCTGTAAAGATTCTGTTGGAAACAGAAGTTGGTCCTAAAATATTGGTTCACATATCTTGAAACACTTCTTTTCTGATGAGATCCTTGGTTTCTTTTTCCCCAATCTACTCTTTCTTTCTTATTATTTTTATGGGGCTTTTGGCTACTCTAACATTCCCCCCTCTGAAGAGGTAACCCTAAAATCTTTTAAAGATTAGATAAAAGCTCCCAAATACTTTTGACATTTTTGGCTTTTGGAATGGAGTAGGTTGCTAACAGGTCCAAGGACATTGTGAGTTTTAGCCAAGAAACTGGCTACTTTTTTGGGGGGTCTTTTTTCCCTAACTGCCTAGCTAATTCCTACCTCATATTCTTATCACACCATCCTCTGAAGAGGTTACCCAACTTGTGGATAGGGAATCAGGATGCAGGGTGAGGCAATTGGGGTACCCCTCAGTGGGTCTATCCAAAAGACTCCCAGATTGTGTAACTCTTATCTATAGGGGGAAAAGAAAGTCCTTGACTGGTGAATAGGCAATGTGAAGGAGAAGTAAAGGCAAGAGTAATTAGCATTACAAGTTCTAGACAGGGAATATTGTAGTTTTTATGTATCAATTAAAAATATGCAAATAAATCTATAATCAACCCCCTTCTTATACAAAATGGGGGAAAACAACACTTTTATCACTGTGGACTCTGTCTGTCCACCCCCCCCCCAAGTATCTTGCAAAGTGGTGTGGGGATCAGATACTTGAAAAGCTTTATTTGAAATATTAAGTAAAAGAGTACAATGGCTAAAAGGAACTTTGTTTGGTTTGAAGACAGTGCCTCACTATGTTGCTCTGGCTGGCCTCTACCATGTGATCTTCAGTCTGCAGAATGCCAGGATTACAGGCCTGGGCCACTATGCCAGTCCTACAAGGAACTTTTTTTTTTTAACCAAGACAAGGATTGCAAACCTTTAGTGCCACTCACATGACACTTCAGGGACCTCAATTCACCTAACAACAAAAGTGCCTTGCTTAACTTCAGAAATATTTTCTTCCTTTACAATAATGGAAGCCTGAGTCTCCGCGTCTCGGGCTCTCAAGTCTCCAAACTGAGACACATCATCCTGGGAAGAGAAAAAGGGACAGGACATGAAGTCCTGGCTGGGCCATCTACCTAGATAGGTACCAGCTGTGTCACCAACAGAGCCTCAGTCCTTTTGCGAAATGCATATTTTTTTTTAAAAAAAAAAAACCACCCTTTGCCCTGTTCATCTTGGCTACTGTGAGAAACGAAGTCGTAGTATTAAAAACCAATCAGGTTCGAGGAATCCCTTCTGTAAACGTATCTAAATAGCTAGCATGACTCAGAGGAACGGAGTTGCTGTCCTGCAACTAGCCTGGGCTGGCTGTGCCACCTAGGAAAAGACCACAGGAAAGTCCTGGAGGAACAGGCACAGAACACGCCCACGCTGGGTGAAGGCATATGCGAGCCCCAGGCGCCCGGCAAACGCCGCGCTCGGTCTGTCCCCGAGTCCTGGGACCCGGGCGGCACAGGACGGGTGCAGGGAGCGGAGCCCCGCAGGGGGTCCGGAGAAGCCAGCCCGCGGCGGAAGCGCTGCTCGCAGCCCGGAAGGCCCCGCCTCACCTGCATGTTGGGCACGAAGCCCTTCTTTATCCTCCAGCAGTTTTTACTGATCTTGTCCAAGAACTGCAGCTCATCGTTATAGTTGCGACTCATGGTGGCGACAGCGGTGGCGGGACTTCCCGGATCCGCTTTGAAAGAGAAGATACCGCGTTGTCCACCCGCTTCCCGCAGCACCGCCTCTGAGGCCTCAATGCGCAGGTGCGGCCAGCTGCGCAGAAGGATGGGCGACGGCGAGCGCGGAGGTTCAAATTTCTTCCCACAAGTCGTTTTCAGCTCATCAAAAGGTTTTCCAGGGGCTATAGCTAAGCCAAATGTACTTAGTGTGGTCTGGTTAAACTACTCTTGTCTTGGGAGGGCTTTTAGTAGCTCATGAAACCCTTGAATCTGGGATGGTCAGCTGCCTTAGAGAATAAATATAGATATAGAATCTATGGCCAGGCGTGGTGGCGCACGCGTTTAATCCTAGCACTTGGGAGGCAGAGGCAGGCGGATCTCTGTGAGTTCAAGACCAGCCTGGTCTACATAGTGAGTTCCAGGACAGCTGGGGCTACGGGAGACCCTGTCTCAAAAAGACCAAAAAAAAAAAAAAAAAATCTATGGTTTAGAGTTTACGTCCCCATTAGTGAAGCATCTGAGAAAGATACATATTTGAATGAACACCACACCTGAACATTTAGATATTTCAGAATGAATTTGTGGATATACAGGAAATACCTTTTCTGTTACAAAAAAGAGCATCCCAAAGAATGAAACACGAAAGCATATCGTTTATTACTGCAGACATTTTAAAGAGCATCGGTGATGGCCAGCAATGCTCTGCAAAGAAGAATAAATTACAGGGTTTCCGAATCCAGCTTTGTTTAGAGAGTAAGACCGCTATAACTATGCCTTTAGACGCAGTTGACTCTTCTGGTTGTGAAGGACGAGCTTGCAGTCGTTTGTTTCTAGCCCTGCCTATGTAAAGAACAGTGAGTTGGGAATCAGGAACATTCGGGTTTAATTTCTGTCTGTGGTATTGCTAGCTTTGTGATGAATCCCTCTTAACCTCGGTTTCCTCAAGGATGAAACGGGATCAGAGCTTTTCGTAGAGCAGCCATGAAGGCTATAGGAATGAAACTGGAGTTGCAGTCAGCCCAGGGCTTGGCCCAAGGTAAGCACTTTATAAACAGTTCTTCTGGAAGCACTGCGAAGCGAAATGTGTGGTTTCTGTTCATTTCCTACATACCCACCCTGGCTCTCCCCTCCTCCTCTCCTCTGCCCCAGTTTTACACTGCTGATTGACAACACTAATATCAAATATGAGCTGTCAAGGCTTAACACTCTGCACTGCTGTCTCCTCATTTGAGGAGTGGAAACATCCTCAAACATACAGGATGAACACAGGAGAGATTTAAATTGCCAGCAATTCCCTATTAAAATCAAGTCTTTGCCCAGGGTGGTGGAGCAAGCCCTTAATTCCAGCGCTCAGGAGGCAGAGGCAGGCAAATCTCTGTGAGACTGAGGGCAGCCTGGTCTACATAGCAAGTTCCAGACAAGCTTGGGAAACAGGGAGACTCTGTTTCAAAAAATTTAAGTCTTGGGGCTGGAGAGATGGCTCAGTGCTTCTTGCAGAGGACCCAGATTTGGTTCTCAGCACCCACATGACAGCTAACAACCTTCCATAACTCCAGTTCCAGGGGATACCACATCCTCTTCCAACCCCCACAGACAATGCACAACACACGTGTACTTTCATTCATTCAGGCAAAACACACACATAAAAAATAAATCAAGTCTTGATATTTGTAAAACCTCAGTCTTTGTCTAAATATACCACATTTTTGTTAACCACTTGTCAGTTGAGGAGCACTTAGGTTGCTTTCATCTCTTAGCTGTTGTGAAAAAAGCAGCAACAAACATGGTTGTACAAGTGTCTCTACAATGGGATGAGTCCATTGGGTATATGCCAAGGAGTGGTATAACCGGGTCAGATGGTAGCTTCATTTTTAGTTTTTAAGAGTTTTCCACACTGTTTTCTTTAGAGGTTGCACAAGTTTGCAATCCCACCAACATGAATGAGTGTTCCCCTTTCTCCACATCCTCACCAGCATTTGGTATCATTTGTTCTCTTGATCCTAGCCAGTCTGATTGGGATAAGGTGATACCTTAGGGTGGTTTTAATTTGCATTTCCTTGATTACTAACGATGTTGAACACTTTTCAATGTTAAAGAAATGAAGTTTTTTTTTCAGTTTCTGTCATATTTTATTAAAATAAATTCAGGTCAGGAGATTTCTCTCACACATAAAGATGGACATTGATAGAAAATAATTTTAATTAAATGTGGAACAGGAATAGTAAATATGAAATGCAAAAATTAAACATAAAGGGAAAGTCTCTAAAGAGTAGACAAGGTTGCCACAAAAAAATCTACCAACATAAGTACAGATAAGTTTCTTTCCTACCTGGTCAGTACTACATGCCTCACTCTTGTCCACAGATTATAAACACAGCACACAACATGCTCATATATATGCACATACAACCCTGTCTTCTCCCATGACATGTCCCTAGTTAGCCCTTTAATGAAGTCTGTCTCACTCCAGGTCTCTGAGGACTCCAGAAAGAAACTGCCTAAGCAGTTCACAAAGGCGTTAAAATTCCAGAGTGCTTGGCCATCCTCCTCCAGGTGTAGTAGCTGTGGGACTAAGAGTTGTTTCCTTCTTTGGATAGATTGTGAATAGGCAATCAAGGGACTGGCTGTTCCCGCCATGGTCCATTTACCAGTTCCAGACTTCCCCAGTTATGGAGATTTGACTGTTGCTTTGAAGTGGCTTCATGCTTCAGGTCAGTGGAAACCAGAAGGAAACCCTGAAAAGGATGCAAGAGAAAGACAACATCAGATTAAGGGCATATCTGGGTTTGTCTGAGGGGAGGGGAGGAGAGTCACAATCTTACCTCAAAAACTTCAATATCTGAATTGACGAATGAGATGTTGTAAGGGTTGGGAAGAGGGAATCCTTGCTGAAGTTTTGCTACAGTACAGAAAAGAGATGTAATATAACTGCATAGGCACAGATTTTTTTTTGGGGGGGATATTTTTGAGACAGGGTCTCCCTATGGCCCCAGCTGACCTGGAACTTACTATGTAGACCAGGCTGGCCTCGAACTCACAGATATCTGCCTGCCTCTGCCTCTGGAGTGCTGGGATTAAAGATGTGCGCCACCATGCCTGGCTTGGGCACAGATTTTTTTTTCAAGCAAACTTTTTAGAACTAGGTGAGCAAGAAGCTTTCTAATAGTTTACTCATCATACTTCCTGCTTCTGTTTTCATGCACATGGATATGTCCCTAGCATTTTTCCTGGAGGAATTAGTAATTAATTTACATTTAATAAAGTGTACCTTTTAGATATCCCCCCCAAATAAACCTCCACCACTTTCCCTTTTTTCCCATCTAAGTACTAACCAGGCCTGGCCATGATTTCCATCTTCTACACACGTGAGCGTGTGTGTGTGTGTGTGCGTGTGTGTGTGGAGGCCAGAGGATAACCTCAGTTGTCATTTCTCAGGTCCATCCATGCAAGCATTTGCCGACTGAACTATCACTCCAGCTCCATATTTATATTTTGAAAATTCTTAATTAGTGGGGCCTGGGAACATTTTTGTGTCTAATATAAAAATATTTTAACTGAGCCAAACTCCAGATGCTGCAGTTTGTAAGTAATTGTGATGCAGGGAGAGAGGCAGGAATGCCACTCATTAAAGCGTGTCCAGATAGCAATCTTTGCAGAACCACAGAGATATTTCCTAGGAAAAATATCATTTCCAGTTGGTATGAAGGAGACATTACTGTCTAAGGAGAGCAGTTTTAATCTATTTAACTCAACCAAAGTTAGCCTTTCCAGCAGAATCTACAAATAGTGCAGGCTTGGACCTATAATCTTGGATTCTGCAACCCTTAAAACCATACACTGTAAATTTCTGACTCTGGTCTTCATTCACAATAACACTAAACACACAGGCATCAGGGTGGAAAGTTCCCAACAAAACCCAAAGTTTAACCAGTGTCAGAGCTCTTCATTTCCCAAGGTTTCTTACTGTTGGCCAGTGGGAAGACTCCAAAGTGAAGAATGGATGACAGGATGTTCTCAAACCTCACAACCTAAAATGAAAAAAGAAACTGCATTAGTTACCAAATCGAGGCTCTTGGAAAGCACCATGTCTAGTTTAGATGTGCGCTTCCACAGAATTTAACTGGATAGAATGAAATGACTAAAGGTTACCTACAGGGACATACTAGCTTTGTAGGAAGCCATATTACAGGGTTTCCTGTTTTTCTCCTGGAGGGTGGACACTTCTGCTTCCCGCTACACTGGTGATAATGAACAGGGACCCCAAGGTGGCAGCAAATGTAGTAGTTGAGATATCTACTAAGTAAGATAATGAAGAACGAAGAAGTCCCCAGTCTCATTTACTGAATCATGGCTCCATCCTGGAACTCACATTCGTACTGACTTAGCCTCCTCTAATGTTGGGATCACACTTGTATGCCACCACCGCTGGCTCAGTGAAAACATTTTGAGAATCTTATGTGCTTAGCAATAGGAATATCATTGCATCTTAGCAAATATGGCTTTGCAGTCTGACTTCTAGATTTATGTCTCTTGTTTTTACTACCACTTATTTTGCGATATTGGGAAAGTTACCTTAATTTCCTCAACTATGAGAGGAAGATAATAATAGGATAGCAGCAATAGCATCACTAGCATAGCTTGGTTGCCAAAATTAGACAAGTTCTATGTAAAATGCCAGGCATAAACCACTGCCATTTTCCTGAACTGCCATGGTCAGCACACTGAATGTGTTGTTGACACTAAACAGGTGTGTACCATCACACCCAATCTTGACATTGATATTTTATCTTAATATTTTATTATTTTTATTTTACAAGTGTTTTTGCCTGCATGCACGTAAGTGCACTGTGTGTGCAGTGTCCCCGGAGGCCAGAAGAAGGTGTTGAATCCCCTAAAGCTGTTGTTGTTGGATGATGGTTAGCCACCATATGAGGGTGCTAAGAACCGAACCAGGGTCCTCTGAAAGAGCAGTCAAGGCTCTTAACTGATGAGCCATCTCTCCAGCTCTGACACTGATATTTTAGACTTCAGTGACTGACATGAAAGGTATGACTTCTCTTCTAGCCTGTGGACACTATTACTCCCGACTCCTAATCTTCAGGATCCTCCTCCAAAATGAAGCATCTTATTTGGCCTATCTAAATTCATCGATTTCCTGACGAATTTCCCCCAGATCTATTCTTATTTTATTATCATGCTTCTGTTGGAAGTAGTAATAATTGAGTGAGAGGTTAAGTGACGTGTCTAAGGCCATGCAGCCAGTAAATGAGACTTCACTCTTAAGTTAAAACCTAGAAGCATGGAGAAATCAAGGATTCAGAAATAGGAAACCATGCACATATGCCGTGATACAGCAGAATTCTTTTTTTTCCTCTGGCCTCAGAGTACCCTGAGAGCTCTCATTCTTACCGTAACATCCCTGTGGCTGGTTTCTGGCAGCAAGAGGCGGAATCTGAAAGGAAGTAGGAACTGGTTAAAGGAGGGTAGATTTAAAAATAATAAACAAAAGATTTTTTTTAGACGAAAAATTGCTACTGAAAAATCCCCCACAAACCAGATATGGTGGTACACATTTGGAAACCCAGCACTCAGTAGGCTGAACCAGGAAGATCAGGAGTTCTAGTGCAACCTGGGCTACAGAGCAGGATCCTATCCCCCAAACAAAGTATCCACAAACAAACTGGGAAAGTCATAGTCTATTGCATCTTCTACCCCTATGCTTGGCTGTTTAGGAAGCAAAAGGCTTGGCTCTGTGTCCCGGGTGCCTTGCCCATACTCTCTGGCCTATGCGTGGGGCTTACTGTTGACAAAATGGAATGCAAAATAATATTAAATGCTTTTCAGGACTGCTGACTCTCTTAACCTTAAAGCTTCCATGAGCCCTTATAATGTCAGTCCATTTGTCTGTAAATCCTCTCTGTGCTCAGTCTTTTTAAAAATTATTTTATTGTTTTTATTTTATGTGTATGAGTGTACAGCCTGCATATGTGTAAGTGCACCTGTGTAGTGCAATGCCCACAGAGGACAGAAGAGGGCATCGGATCCCCTGGAACTGGATTGATTTACAGACAGTTGTTATCTGCTATGTGGGTGCTAGGAATCGAACCCAGGTCCCCTGCAAGAGCAGTCTGTGTTCTTAACCACTGAACGATCTCTGTAGCCCCTTAGCAGGAGGCCCTTCTCCCAGTTTCCTAAGGGTTACTCCTGAGATACATGCTTCATTTTTATGCAATAGTCACAAAGAAATAATAATCAGTGGGGAAGATCCCTTCACTTTGCAGTGGGGAACTGAGGCCCAAGGAGATGAATTGGGATTAGAAACCAGAGCTGTCTGTCTGTCTGTTTCTGTCTCTCTCTATCTCTGTCTCTCAGGTCTTTCTATGTAGCCCAGTCTGGCCCTCAACTCCTGATCCTCCTTCCTCAGCCTCCTGAGTTATGGGATTACAGACACGTGCCAACACACCTGGCTGGAATGCAGTTCTCTTGACACCCATCTCCTCTTGCCTCCCCCTTAGCTTCCTTTGGCTCACTGTTGCCCAGGTCTGAGCCCTGTTTCTGTTTCAGCCTCCTCCCAAATCTTCTTGTTTCCAGTTTTGACTGTGCCCAATCAATCTTGTATACCACCCCCAGAGTGAACTGTGTCACAGGCATGTCTGATGAGTTCACAACCCCCTGAGCAAAATTATTTAGTAGTCACAAACATGGCATAGGAGATGCCCAGTTGCCACTTCAGTCTTGTCCCTTGATTCTCTTCCTTGAATTTTATCATCATGAACCCTCAACTGTGTAGAGTTATGCTGTTCTGTTCATCAAGCATAATAGGACTGAGGTTCAAAAGGCATTGGCATAAAAAATACCAAAAAACTTGAAAAATAATACATATTCACAAAAGTGATATTATGATCACTGGTCACTGCAACTTGACACCACCCATAGTCAGGCCTATTTAATGTTGACTGCATTTGGATATATGCAGTGGTCATTATGCTGGAGTGATCAAACATCAGAGGAGCTGAGAAAGATCTTACAACTGTGAGGTATTTCCTTGCCCATCCCATGATGATTTTGGCTTCTCTGTCTTCACTCAGGATTTTTCCTGGGTTTTTTTTTGAGACAGGGGCTTCCTGTAGCCCCAGCTGGCTTGAAACTCACTATGTAGATGAGGCTGACCTCAATCTCATAGAGATCCATTTGCCTCTGCCTCCAGAGAGCTTGGATTAAAGGCATATGCCACCATGCTTGGCATGTTTCCTGTTTGGGGACGATGCCCTTTCTTTTTCTTTAATTGGTTAACTCTTTAAAATTATTATAATATTATTACTGAGAGAGAGAGAGAGAGAGAGAGAGAGAGAGAGAGAGAGAGGTGGAGGTCAGAGGACAGCTTTCAGGAGTTGGTTCTCTCCTTTCATTGTGGGTCCCAAGGATTGAACTCAGATCATCAAGCTTACATGGCAAGTGCCTTTACTTGCTGAGCCATCTCATTGGCCTCAGTACCTCTTCTGAATCTCTTAAGATTTCAACGAAGTGCTACTTCTAAGAATCTTTCTGTGACTTCATTTAAAGAGCAGGTTCTCAAAGAAGTATCAACTGGTCGTCAGCCAGTATCACGTTAGTAGGAATTATGTCTCAGCTAGCTTCAAACTGATAAGTAATAATAAAATTCTGAAAAATTGGTAAGTCTAGCATAGATCAGAGATTCTGTCATTGGCATTGATACTGGGGGAACCTGTAGGGAATCTTTGAAGGCACTGCTGAGGAGATGTGAGTGTGGGTGTGTGGATGACTCCCCCCGGCTACACTGTTCTAGTGTGAAATAGAGGCAACATCATGGTAGAATGTACTTGGGGGTTTTCTTTCTTTTCTTTCATTGCCAGCCCGGACCATGTGTGGCTGCCTCAGGAGCACCTGCTATGAGAGAGCCTGCCTGGGGATCTCATAATCCAGACTCTGCTTTTCTCCTAGGGACATCTTAATTTGATTTCCAAGTTTTCTATGCAAACCCACAGCTTCATTTACGAGTGGATTCTTGTCACTAGCTGCAGAGAAACTTGTAAGACAAAAATCACTGTCCCTGGCTCTGAAAAAAGAGAACCTGAGCTGTACCACTAGATGGCACCCGACTTGGGTCTTTTAGCTTTATCCTCTGCAGAGCCATCGCATTTGAAATTCACAGCCTTTCCCTAGAAACTAATTCTTATGGCAGAACTTTAGAGTTGTTGAGAAGGAAATGAGCTCAAATGGCCCTTCCTTAAAGACAAATAACAGTCTGTCTTGGGCTAGGGATGAGGCTTAGTGACAGAGCCCTCTGAGTATGTGTGAAGCCCTGGGTTCTGAGAGGGAGAGGGAGAGCGAGAGGGAGAGGGAGAGGAGAGAGGAGAGAGGGAGAGGGAGAATGAGAAGAGAGAGAGGAGAGAGGAGAGAGGAGAGAGGAGAGAGAGGAGAGAGGAAAGAGAGAATGAGAGAGAATAGCCTGTTTAAAACGTTTTAGAGTCAGTGTATTACCTTCAATAAAAACCAGAGTGAAAATGCAAACTATTAAGCATAGCACAAAGTCATTCATGATCTGGGTCAACATGGTAAAAATGATATAACAAAAGGCAAGAGTCAAGGTAAGTGCTACAGGTACTAACAATGTCATTCTCCAACCCCATGCCAAAAGTAGACGATGCAAATCAATTCACCACTCACTGCCCTATGTACTCTTGTTTCTGTTTTAGTCTAGTTTAGTTTCTGTTTGAGCATAAACTTCTTGAGGGTAGAGAGCCAGTCTTAAGGATTGAGATTAAGTACAGATCCTGGCACATCCCAGCACCAAGGTTTATTGGCTCATTCAGAAGATATTTCTTGAGCACTTAACATGTGTCAGTTTAAGGGCAGGTGCTAGAGGTGACTCTGGGCATAACAAGACACAGCCAGTGTTCCCATGGAACTCATAGCCTGGTGTGTGTGTGGGGGGGTTGTCATTATCAAAGAATCCCAATAATTAAAGTTTAATTACAAATTGGGATAAATGCTCTGAAGGGAAGAAACAAGTTTATCTAGTCCATTGACAGAGGACAGTCACCTGGCTTGGTAGATGTGGGAAACTGGCAAGGAAAAGATCCAAGGAAAAGATCTTTGAAACAGGAAGAATGAGTGGTATTCAAAAAGAAAACTGGAAGGAAGTGAGGGGGCTGGCAGAGGCTGAGGTGGCTCCTGGGAGGGATCAGAGCTGTAGAGAGGGCACAGCAGATGGTGCTGACAAGGCAGACAGGGTGGCCCAGCCTGGGTGACCTCACCACGTGGGCTTTGATCTTTATTCTAAGAGCAAAGGATCCATTGAAGGCTTTGAAGAAGAGAGATGCTAGTTGCAGGATGGAGAGATGATTGGTAGGTCAAGAACTTGCCAGGTGACTCTATGCTCAGTCATGTGCTAGGCCATGTGAAGAATTTAATAAATTTGTTATGGGGGGGGATGGAAAAAAGCACGCAAGAAGAAAGTAGAGGCTGATACAAAGGACTGGGATGTTCCTCTGTGGGTTTGTATCATGTTGAAAAGAGGACTCCGTATGAAAAGGTGAAGAAATCAGAACTCAACATGAGCTAGAAGGGAGCGAGGGAGAGAGGGAGGGAGAGAGAGAGGAGGAAAGTTCTTGGGGCAAAACAAATTGTTTTTCTCTCTGCTGTTTGGGCTACAAACAGTGCAGGGCACAACAGATGCTCAAGAGGTCTCTATTGAGACTCATAGATGAGCTGAGAAAGGAGCATTGATCAGAATTGGGGTCCCTGTGAGGTTGAATCCAGTCTAAAGCAAAATTTTAGGAAGCTGGAGGAGTTAGGGTTGGGTGGTTTGAAAGCTAGGTCCAGCAGCTGAAGCTGGAGGAGTTAGGGTTGGGTGGTTTGAAAGCTAGGTCCAGCAGCTGAAGCTGGAGGAGTTAGGGTTGGGTGGTTTGAAAGCTAGGTCCAGCAGCTGAAGCTGGAGGAGTTAGGGTTGGGTGGTTTAAAAGCTAGGTCCAGCCGCTGAAGAGCTTAACACTCCAGGCTGTGACGCTTCCCTGAATACTTTGTACTTTCTCACTCTTTCTCTGAAGCTCCCCCCCCCCCCCCGCTTTTTTTTTTTTTTTGCCATGTGCTGCTTGCCTGTCATGTGGTTGACCTCTCATACCTGCCTAAAACAGCATGGCTTCTCTTTCTTTCCTCTATGCCCCTCCTCCAGGGAGCTGCCAAGATTTGCAGCTTACCTGACCTGGGATCTTTCTTTTCTTTTCCTTTTTTCTTTCTTTTTTTTTTTTGGTCTCTTTGAGACAGGTCTTTTTTCCTGTAGCCTCAGCTGGCCTGGAACTCACTATGTAGACCAGGCTAGCTTCAAACTCACAGAAATCCCCATGCCTCTGTCTCCTGAGTGCTGGGATTAAAGGCGGGCCCCACCATGCTGTGTGGGGTCTTTCTTTTAAACCCTAATAAAATTGTCCT